CTGAGGAGCTGGGGGAAGAGCAACATCAGGGCTCAACACTGTCCCGTGCAACACTCAGACCTGGGTGACATCTCCCAGAGAGTGTCAGCCATGGACACATGGAGTTACAGGTTTTACTTTTAGTTAAAAGGTAGCTGGGAGAAAAAAGAAACTGTTCCAGTTCCACACTAAAGAATGTCTCCCTTTCTCTCAATCCTCCTTTCAGCATTTTATACTTAATCATGAAGAAAGTTCCATCCTCTAAGAAGTACACATAGTACCAAGTAATAAACACTTATTATTAAATTACTTCAATTCTACTCCAAACTTACTGCTATGCACCTACAGATTATGATATATTCTATCTAACTAAATGTTATTTCTAGCATTTTTTAAAGCAGGCAGCTGTTTTGACCTTGCTTCTCATGGCAGAAGTTTCCTTTCCTATTGGGAGACAGGGCGATCCACAGAGAACGCCTTGAACCACAAGCCCACAAGAGACACGTAGACACCAACCCTCATATTAAGACATAAAAACCGAATTCCATTATGACTTGCATGGCTCGTGTCCTATGCTTCCAGAAGCACACTGTCAGCCTGTCAGCATATGGATACAACATCACAGTATTGATAGCATTGTTTGAAAACTATTTTCTACACGTTCCTGAAAATTTCTGATAAAAGAAGAGAACACGGAGCTAACATGAAGTCTGAACACTGGAAAACATTTTGGAACTCCACATCAAATTTTTAAACTTAAAGACAGATAATCTGAATCCAGAGACTCTAGATACCACAGATGCTAACATTCAACTGACTCGTGGAAATAAACTTGCAACCAACCTGAAGCAAAATAAAAAGGCATTCTGAATCCAATTCTTATCCCCAGATGCAAAACCAGTCAATTCAAAGTATAAGTAACTGATAGCATTTTAAATATCATCTTCTAATCACTGTTGCAGCCAATATAAATTCCTATATTTCACTCTGTCTAACCCCAAATGGATAGTATTTTCCAAGTCACTTGTACTATTAACAAGCAAACCAAAAGCACATAATCACCCAAGAGAGTGAATTTCCCATAAAACGAAATTCACTCACTCTGGCATTTTCCTTGGCATTTGTGAAAGAATTTTAAAGAGACTCAAAACACATATATTTCATTTAAACATTTATTTTTAAGCTGAGGAAGTGTTTTTATTCATTCAATCTGTGGGTATAAACACCCTAAGAATATATATAACCAGTAAATTGGCAATGAACCAGTAGGAAGATCATAATATGTATTTTCATGGGCAAGAAATAATAAAATTTCAGATGGAACATTCTTCAGTACATTTTGTGTATCAGAATTCAGCTTGAGAATGGAGAATATTCCTGAGTTCAACAAACATTTATTGCACATTACTGTAAGGCAATATTCTTGACACTGATGGTACAAAAATGGAAAACAGCGCCTCCCAATTCTTAATTTAGAAACTTCTAAAGGAGGTAAACGTGTAACTTCAATATAAACATTTACTTCCTTTGCCCACTCCCACGCCAAAGCCTCCATTATCTGTCTAAGTCATACCAATAGCTCTTTGAAGAGGTTCCCTTTTCCTTTTCTGACCTTTGTATAGTCCTGTCTTCACCATGTGGCCCCATTTCTTTTAGAACAAAATGCAAAGAGTATGGTTTGGTGTGCAAAGCATTACAGGTTTTGCTTCTGCTTCCTTTGCCGCCTTATCAACTCCCACTTTCCCATATGGGTCACTATGACCCATTCACATGAACCTTACTTCTCTGCCATGAACACACTCTTGTCTTTCTATCTCTTTTGTCTGAGCCTGGCTCTTCAAGCAGTTGGCTTAAACTCAGGGATTTCAAATATCACACACTCAGAGATACTTTACTTGACTGCTTTTGTCTCAAGAAGTGTTCCACTCTCTACCTCCCTATCCTCCAAAGATGACTTTCCCTTCTTTCTTTTTTAGAGAGCACTACTAACTTCCTGAGAAGCAAGTCAGGGGACCTACTGTATAAATATTACCTTGAACCTAGTGGACCCATCTTATATGCATTAAAATGAAAATCTGTTATGGTTTAGATATAAAATGTCCCTCCAAAATCTCATTTGTTCAGAGGCATGGCTTTGGGGAGGTGCCTGGATTGTATAGGTGCTAAACTCACTGGTGAAGTATTCCACTGATGAATTCAGAGTAGAATGTGCAGAGGCTTTGTTGGCAGAGGTTGGGGACATAGGTAGGAAGAGTCAAGTTCCTAGCCTGTCTCTCTTCCACTCCGTTCCCTCCCTCTCCCTCTGGCTCTCCTCTCTGTCTCTGTTTTCCTCCCTCCTTCCCTCCCTCCCTCTTCCCCTCCCTCCCTTCTTCCCTCCTTGCCAGGGGTTATGAACAGAGCAGATTTTCCCCCAAGCCCTTCCTCCATGCTGTTTCTGCCTTGGAGCCATCTGATCATGCACTGAAATCTCTGAAACCCTGAGCCAAACGCAACCTTTCCTCCTTTAAATTGGATGTATCAGGCATTTTGTTTTAGCAACAGAAAGCTAATTAATACAAACCCTTCCTTAAGAAAATTTAGTTAAATCATGAAACTAATAGCGTTCACATTGAGGAACTACTGATCAAAATGCCTACTTGTCTGCCTCTCTGCCAATATTTTTTTTTTTTTTTTTTTTTTTTTTTTTTTTTTTTTGTTTTTCTCCGGTACCGGGAACCAAACTCATGACCTTGCGCTTGCTAGGCAGGCGCTTTTGCCGCTGAGCTAAATCCCCAGCCCCATCTCTGCCAATATTGTACAACAAATCAGAGCATGTATTTTAGAAGAAAAAGCAAATACTACAAGTATTTAAAGGAGCCAAAATGTGTTCACCTACATTAATTTCTTCAAATCATTTTCAGTTCCCTAGGTTTGCTTCAATCTACTATTTGTACAATACAGTGCTTATACTGATTCAAAAATAATTTTATTTGAAATAGATTTTTCCAAGTAGAAATAATTAAAAATTTTTAAGTGCACGTTGCTTTCTAACCTGAACAACAGAAGTGAGAAATACCTAGCGATCAGTTATAGGTTTCCTATGGGTTTGTAATTTATTTGCCTTAATTATTTCTCCTTTTAGGTACCTCATTTTGAGTATATTCCAGTTATGATTCCAAAATAGGAAAAATACTGAATGTTACAAAATTTCATAAAATTATATTTCACAAAATTAGATTGAGTTATGAAGTCATTTTTGCCCAAGAATATAAATGCATTTCTAATAATATATAAATATATGCCAAAATATTTAAATCAATTCAAGGGTACTAAGGAGAATCAATTTTTACACATGCAGTTAGAGACATGTGTTATCACTATTTTCCAAATAACATGTAAAATGAAGATTTTCTTGTCCTTCCTGTTTAACTAAATAAAAAAAATTTTCAAAAAACATCCTCTATTATTACCACTGGAAAATAATTCAAGAACATGATTTAGTTTACAAAATAATAATGGTTTACAAAAGTAGACAAAGTAGAATGACAAAAGATGGACAAGGTAGAATAACAGCACTATTAGTGAAATTTTTTTTAACAAGCACAATTCAAATGTACCAATGATGAAGTTTAAAAAAAAAAACTATGAAAATACCTGTATACTATATTATTGGAAATAATCTTAAAAATGCAACAAATAAAATGTTTCAAGCAAAGGAAACACAGGAGCAAAGACAGAATTAAATCTTATTTCTTAAAATGCAATAGCAAACAGTCCTTTAGCAGTCAGGGAAAATAATCACGGAACTACTTTCATGCAAGGTAAGGAAACACAAATTAATAGTTCTGAAAAAATTCTAATTTAAAATACTTCATATAGAAAACCTGTAAAATTAAAAGTAAATTCTGTGCAAACTTAAATTAGTTGATTGCTATTTTAAAGCAGCAATAAAACTACACTGAAAAACAAGGTCTGGGGTGCTTATGTCACACGTTATATGAAATTACACCATGCATTGTGCTGCAAAGATAAAGCCTCACAATCCTAGTTTTATGGATGTACATAAACAATAATGTACACTTAAAAATGCACTTGTGGTTGGTTAAGTGTTTCCTCCATTTTATTATTTCCACTCTTCTATACTTGCAGCCTGTCACTGATTTATTTTTACTAGCTGGAAACTGGGAGAAGGAATTAAATATTATACAAGCATATTAGCTCTATTTCCTTAAGATTTAATTTCCATCTACTTTAAAGTTTACTACTTGATAATAACTAACACATCAAAGCCAGCAGTGATTAAAAAATTTAAAAAAAAAAAACTGTTTTTTTCAAGACACCAGAAAAGAAAATGCTGGCTTCTTGAAAGCCATTCAAAGGACAGATCTGGTAGGAATAAGCACATCTTACCCAATACCACACCAGCTATATACTTTGCTTCACTGAACATATGAGTCATTACTAATGACAGAGTGGAGTGTGACAGAGCCGTTATGTAAGCTCACTCTGCACTGATTAAGGCCAAGGCTAAATGGAATGAGGCAACCATAGTTTACATCTACTACAGCTTATCCCTGACTCACTCTTAAGCATTTATAAGGCTAGTGTACATCCATATCTTCCAGAAAGCAAGACTTTCAAGCCGGGATGTAAACTTCTAAAACTTCTAAAAGGCATGCTCAATGAGCAATACATTATCATTTAGAACAAAAAGGAAGCTAATAGTTTTATTATAAACCATGCATCAGGCAAGGAGCTAAAGCTTTCCTGATGAGACTTCATTTAAATTCCACACTGAACCTGAAAGAAAGAAATGTGAAATTGCCTTCCCCATTGAATTCCTACGAAAAGTACTGCAGAAAAATACAGTGCAAAGCTCTTCAACGTGATTGTTCAGAATGCGAAGGTAAGAATGCAGCATGAGGTGAAACCTGCAGCAACAAAGTCACTTGCTTCTCAAAATGTCCTTCAACAGAAAAATGGTCTCATACGAACATGAACGGCAAATATGAGGGACGTGGGAAAAGTTATCAACCACTCACCATAATGCATATAACAGTTTCCTTTGGTGGGATCCAACTCAATGGCCTTCAAGAAGAACTTTTCAGCCTCACTCTTACGACCCTTAAAAAACAGAGAAAATGGATGATTCAGCAAAAGATCATGAAGAATTCTTCACCTCTGGGGCACAAATGAAACAGAGTAATATCTGTGGGTAACCATCATTAGAAAAATGTGTTTTGTTTTTAAGTAAATGAGGATGATCAAGGAGACTATGTTGAGAGCAGAGACTGAGGTCAGAACCGTGGGAAACTTCCAGAGAAGAATGGAAGGTGTAAGCCCAACAAAGAGATTTTAAAAAGAGGCAGTCAGGGAAGTAGAGAAAGGTTTAAAAAGTAGTTTCATAGGAAATAGAAGAATTAGTTGGGTTGAAAGAAAGGAACATGATTGTGTTCTTTTGTATTTTATTTTCTCCCTTCAGTTTGTTCCCTCCTCATTCATTTTTTGTATATAAAAAAATAGTCATTTTAGCTTTCGATACCACTTTGCCCTAATCACCCATTCTTGTCTGGCATGGCTGAAACAGAGGTCTGGTAGTAAGGTACTGGGTGGTAACCAGAAGCCACAGCCCATGGCAAAACAAAATGACCTCATCTGTTTATTTCTTCTAATCTACATACGCTCTACTTTATAAACTTCAGGCAATGTTTCTTTCTCTCTTCACATAGGTTTTTAAAACCAATTGTGTAGCAATCCTTTTTTTTTTCAAAGTTAAAGTTGCATAATTAACCTAATGTGTTACATTTTGTGCAACTTGGACTCATTTCTCCATACTTCCTTGTTTTTTATTCAATCATTAAAAAAAAAGTTCACTCTGTCAGTACATCCTTCATTGACTCATTGTCCTTGCTGGTAGGGACTTGCATACAGCCTCTACCACCTATACCTTGTGATAACCAAATGATCAGACAAGAGACTTGCACTTCTGTTTGGGTTCAATATTCCATTCAGTAACTCCTCTTTAATTTACAAGTCTCATTGAATATACAGTAATTTAAATTGTAACACTGCCTGCAAGGTTTCCCACATTTAATTTTGAAAGAGAAAAGAAAGCACAGGCAAAGTGTATCTTACGCATATTCTTTCATAAAATTTAGTAAGAGTTAGCAAGAATCTGACCAAGCTAGAGTTCCCCAAATAATTCAATAGGAGTAGAGAATAGAGCAGTCTAGTGTATGATTAGGAGCATAAATTCTAGACAGGCTGAGCAATTCCCATACTTGTTTAAACTTGTGACTCGTAGAACATTATGTTGTCTATTAGATGTAATTTTCTTTATGACAAAAAAGAAGGTAGGTGGAACATAGGAGACATTTAGGTCAGTGAAACTATTCTGCACAATACCGTAATGGTGGATGCATCTCATTAAACATTTGTCTAAAGCCATAGAATGTACAACACTAAGAGTAAGCCATAATATAAACTATGGGCTTTAATTGACTCATCAATTGTAACACATGTAAAACACTAATGCAAGCTGATCATAATAGGGCAGACCATGTATAAGGCGATGGTAAGACAAGGTGATCTCTTCACTTTCTGCTCAGTTTTTTTTATAAACCTCAAATTGCTCTAAATTAAGTTTATTAATTTTAAAAAGCCATTTTGTAGGATTATTGACTTATCTGCACTGATGCATATTAAGTTGCCATAAATTTGTTAGAATGTTAACTATTATCTATATTGTCTATCTCTCAGATATATGTAAAAGTACATATGAATAATACAATGAAGACTCAGGAAAAACAAATCAGGTTTGTTATATACACAGCCTCAAAAGCATGGCTACGCTTTAAACCATCATTGGAAAACTGCATACATAGAATGTGCAGAAGAGGACAATAAATGAAAGATGAAAAATGTAAGCTATCATTTGATACAGAATATGTAAAGCTGTTATATGTTAGGACTAGAAAGGGCTTTGAAGTTCTTAAGGACCAAAAGGAAAAACTGGCTCACTGATCAGTGTCACAGCAGATGTGGTAGTACAATCTTCACGTGTAGTTCATTGGGCCAAACAATCATATGAAGCTTTTAAAACCATGCATCAGTACTCAAAAGACAATGGTCTCTTGCTCCTCAGTGGCTCAGGCCACCAAAGAAAATGTCTCAAATCTCCAAGATGTGAAATGAACACACAGAATTTTTGTTCTGGGAGAGAATAACATACTATCATGCAAAGGCCTGGCTTTCCACTTTGATGATTTAGTCAACTGCCAAATACTAAGGAGGAAAGGACAATCCTCATGAGAGTATATAAAATTAAGAACTTGTCAGATGCATACGCCAACCAGGTATAAACAGTACTGTGTCATGGTTCATGGGAGGTAATGTTGAGTGAAATCCACTATTTCAACTGTTAAGTTTTAGAAAGATGGTGGTTAAGAAAATGAAGGAAAGGATGTTCATTAGTATTTTCTTGTCTCTGAAATTATGCCAGTATTTTATACAAACAAGTATTACATAAAGAATCACTGCTTATACAAACTCCTCAAACTGGGCAAAAGAGGTGCAATATACATTTCATACATTGGTTGGGATTTTTGGACACATGTCAGAGTTCAGAAGAGAAGAAAAAGGAAGGAGCCAGGGATACAGCTCAGGGGCACAGCACCTGCCTGGCAAGCACAAGGTCCTGAGTTCAAGTCCCGGGAACCAAAAAAAAAAAAAAAAGAGAGAGGGAAAAAGGAACTTTGCTGAGTAATAAAAGCACATACACAAGATAACAGAGTTTAAAAGAAAAAGGAAAACAAAAACCTTACCCTAATCAGGACTAGGACTAAACAGGGTCTTTCGGATTTTTTAAGTTTTAAAGTTGTATTAGTACACGTTCTCAGTACATAATAATTATGCTCATCACGGGGAGTTATATATTCACATAACACACCTTAATTCTTTTTACTTCTTCTTCTCTCCATTTCCTGATCCCTTTCTCATTTGAAAAAGATCTTTCTCCCTCTAAACAGATCCTTTCTGATTGGCAGCAATGAAACATAAGATAAATATCCAGTAATGCTTATACAGCCTACTCCAGAGTGTGGGATCAATTTCTGGCTAATTTTATTTGTTTTCCTATTAAACTGGTGCTCTTTACTACTGCAGCTCAGAAACGGGCTCAGCTGAGTGGATGTGCAGAGCAAACAGCCTCTGTCCCAATAGCTGATCAACAGTGTCAGGACGGCCGAGTGGTCTAAGGCGCCAGACTCAAGCTCCGCTTCCCAATAGCTGATCCATACTTTTCCCTACTACAAAATATACAAATATGAAAGACACACACAGATGTTTTTCCATATACCGACTCAGGCAAATGCCCACAATCATTCATGGACTTCCTCTTTAAGAAGGCACAAGGAAATATTCCATGTGAGAGAGAACTCAATAATTACAGCTTTAACTTGAATTATTTTATTTTTATAAATTAAACTATAAGCAAATGTGTGTGCTACTTTTACTGACAAATTACACAAAACAATATCCACTGCCCTCTATGCATCATGATATTACAGCTCAGAAATGCTGTATTACAAAATGATATTACAAAAGGAAAAACACCAAGACAGTGCATAGCATCATGTTTTTATACAGGTGTGTGTATATACATACACACATATAGGTACATATGTATTTAAATTTATGAATTATAGTATTGTGATTATAAGGAAGATATATATATATCTTTATGCCCATTTCCTGGCACAGTGCTCCTAAAACTCTTACAATTTTCTGAGCAACAGAAGTAGTAGGAGAATCTCTTATTCTGATATTTACCCTTTGAACACTAATTCCCAATAAAGACACTCTTGGAACTTCCTGGTGGAGTATCTTTTGATCTAATAAGGCCATTCTTTATGGGTCTCTGGATGAGGGCCAGTCATCAGAAAAAGCCATGATTTCAAGCTTGGCGTTTTCTGATACTCATCCACAACTTTATCCTTCAGGAAGGGGAGAGGGGCCCATGTTTGACTTGATAACACATTTTGCATATATGATGAAACCTCAATAAGAAGCCTTGAAACACAGAATTCTGGGAGCTTCTAGGTTGGTGAATAAAAGTGCATGTGTGTGTCAGAAGAGGGATACTGCTCCTCCTTGGGTGTTTCATTTGTATTCCTTAAAGTATCTTTGTAATAAATTGGCAACAGTAAATTATTTTTTAAAAGTTCCGCAAGCCACTCTAACAACATAAACTCCATGGAGTTTAGGTCACTGGAACCTGAAATTGCTAGCCAAGTCAGACCAAAGTTGTAGGTAACCTGGCAGCCATTGAGAAAGAAGAGGTCACTAAACTAGCTGAAATTAAATAGCAGACAGGGGAATAAAAGACTGAAATACAATGATTGCCCTCATATGAAGAAGTACATCATCATCTACACGCAGTTGTGTTTCTGAAAGTCAGACATGTTATGCAAGCAAAGGGCACAAACAAGTCGTGTGGAAATATGAAAAAAATAATGGTCATAATTCCTACCAAACATACTGAAATTATGCAATATTCATTTTACCTAAAATACAAGTAAATATGCATCAATAAAGCTGCAGAAAGAATGGGAGCATTCAGTATTATTGAAAGTTCATAAAAATAGGCATTCATGTAACACACTGTTAAAAATAATGTAAACTATGATTAAAAATCATCCTGGGTGGCAATCTGACCCGTACCAAAACATTTAAATCATAGATACACTTTGGCAATCCAATTCTATGTATAGGCCCTGGTCCTAAGGAAATGTGCAAATACAAAGAAGTTCTTTATGTTTATTGCAGCATTGTTTATGCAAACTCAGCGTCCACCAATATGGTCTTGATTAACCACAACATTGCAGTGAAATATATGTACCTATTGAGTGATTTTGTAGAAAATACTTAAACCACAAAAGATCTTCCTGATCCTTTGCTAAATGAAATAAGCAAGCAATAAGTGGTAGTTTACATCACTTTCGTAACACCGCCTGATCATGGGTTGATTTTACCACTGGGATTTCAATAGTAAGTAAATGAAAGGGTGGAATCCTGGGTATTTCAGGAATATTTCAGAATGATAAGCATACAGAGTAGACTGTTAA